CAACGCCGACAACAACCAGGCACTTCAATCTTGACGATCACCAGTCTGGACACTTTAGCTGCTGGGAAGTTATAATAAAGTTATTTCTGTATCTTGTATGACGGTATGTTCGTTATATATATATATATATATATATATATATATATATTCGATCTGGCGTTCGACAAGGTTGTATGTTAAGTCTTTGTGTCGATCAGAATAATTTTATCAAGGAGATTTAAAAGCACCGAGCGCTACTCGATTCACAAATGACATCGCTTAAGGTTAGCATGTTTCGTGCTCACCGCGCGTTCCGCGCTCAGATACCTACAAAGTTAAGAGCCTCGACTTCTTGCCAACGAGCCTGGTTGTATTGGTCGGCCTTTGCTAACTAAATCTCATTTTAAAGTTAAAATGATGCCATGACTTTTGACCAAGACTTGGCGAATCTATAGGCGCAATACAAATTTGTTTTAAATACTAAAGCTCATTTCAAGCCTTGAGAGGACTTGTAAATCTCCAGTATTTTGTCGCGCACACAGCTGTACTGGCAACGACCCAGTCTTTTTCCCGTAAAACTGTCGATGTCTTGTAGGGAACGATGGAGCTTGGTGGTTGTACAGCAACTGGCGAATAAACTGACAGGTAGATAAAGGTAATTTTTTTCACGGACTTCATCCGTAATCTGCCGAGTTAACTCTTCTCGGTAGGGATAGACTGAAGATTGTGTTGGTAAAGGTCTATTAAGTTTCCTACGGGACTTCAAAATAATGGGCTGGATTCTTCAATGCTAAATACATAACGCGGTCTTAATGTTTTCCTTAAATTACAAGACATAGATTGGAATTGAGCATAACGGTTAGAAGTGCCGTACAAACACATTCAGATGTGCTAGAGCTTTGGTAAAATGTATTGTTTAACTATGTAAAATAATCAAACTAGGCACACAGTTCGGATGTCTTAGTCGTCTCAGTATGTAGTTTTTTTCATACATGATAATCTAGCGTCCGATGAAGGTATATTCGTTTAGAGCCAGCAGTAAAATTCCTTTCCAAGAAGAAGAAGGGAGTTTTTTGTTTGCCTCTGCCTTGCTTTCAAAACGACTATGAAGTGCAGACCCCAAGCATGGGAGGCAGTATCAGATGCGAAGACATTTTACCTTTCAAACAACATGAATTTACATGGGTGCATTCAAAAGAGGGCTGCATTGATTAACGCCAAAATCTTTCTACTGATATTTCATTTGCCAGCGGTAGCTGCATATACAAATGACGAAATAAAGGTCACTTTTTGAAATGAAATTAGTTAAGAAGATCAATATGGAAAAGCAAATTTTATAACTAAGAGTTCGTATGTTCAAGGATAGGGTCTTTAGTATTTTAAGAAATAGAACACAGCATATGTAATTCATTAGTGCGATAAACGATGGCAGGTGGTAAACCAAAAAAATAATAAGAAGACAGAAGATGAAGATGCGCACCTTCCTCTTCTGAACTGCTACCTGGAACTCGCCTGTTCGCTTCTATCAGCAATAAGAAGACAATAAAATTACTTATCGAAGCGCGTCAGTTTACCTTGGACGCGGTGTCTGCTTTGCGACCGCTGATCCTTCGAAGTTCGTAAAAATATCTGGAATAAGGAAAATAGGCAGATATCCACAGTGGAAACGTAAAATCGAACACAAACGACCGGGTGATAGTTTATTATGGGCCAAGTTACGGGAGTCTGGCCGGAGAACAATTTTCGCAGTTTGTAAGGAAACTCAACACATTATGGCGAGATGTCTAAGGCCACGCTTCACAGTGCAAACGCGATAGAGGAAGCGGTGTTCGCCTTAATACAAACAAGACACAGATGTGTCCTCACTGAAACTTGTGATAAATTTTAGAGGACTGCGACATCTTCAGTGCTACTCCCTGATCAGTGTTCGAACTTCAGGCAGGTCCTGGATCAGAGTGAAGCCTCAGCCGCCGTCTCTAACCTTCCCTCTCCTTCTTAAAACCGATGACTATCATTGCGCTTGGTAGTTGGTCAGTTCAGCCAGTCTAGGTCTGCGGAGAGTGCTACAGTATGGCCGTGTGTTTCCAGTTGTTACTGTCTTCGTCCCACGGAGTAATGGAACAAGAAACAAGAAAACGTCTGTGGAACTTCAGTGCCGTCGGTTCAATTCAGTAGAGTAACAATCTGCTTCAATAAACAAACATGTGAAAACACCTGACTGAAGCAGATGCAGACTGGCAGAAGCGATGTTTCTGTTATAAAGGCGCGATAAGAAACTATTGCAGGGTTAAATGAAGTTCGCGTCTTTCTTGAGCTGCCCAGCCTATAGGAAATTCACACTAAAATACGACAACCCGATAGGTCTCATCCCCCCTATTACCAAGCCCCGAGTTGCCCTTGAACTCGAGCACTGATAGTGTGCATTCATTATATGCAGCAAAATTTTACTGCTTTCCCACAATTATGGTAGGAATCGCTTTTATTTTGCTTTATAGTTGCTTGTCGATGCACGAGTCGGAGTTTCGATCCGTTTGTCATGTGGTATCATGTAGCCTCGAATTTTTTTGGCAGCAATAAACAAGCGGTCTGGCACAAATCTTTGAGTTACGAAAAATCCCATAGCAGTAATCAGAAGACGAGGTGGCGAGCATACGTAGCTTTCGATAAATTCTCGTCGGACCAGTGCAGTTATGTGGGAACGGGGTAGAAGTAAAACATGTCAGCGATCTGAGAAATCGATAAAAGTTCGCCTTAAAACACAGGCGGGGTGTGGGAATGGGGGGAGGGGGCGGGGGTAGGGTCATGGCAGTCACTGTCAGGGGCGGGGTGAGAGCGGACGGGCGCGGAGAGTTGCAGCGTTAGTCGACCTTCGACCACTGTAGGCACGGAGCCTGAACGTGGTGCTTCTATGCGCACAAAACTGGCTTTCGTAGCCTGACGGCGGCCGCTTCCGCTATTGCCAACAGGCGCTGGCCCAGTAGCTTCGGATAGCTCTATGGTACCTTATAAATCACACGAAAAGCTTCGTTGGGGTCCACACGATGTCCGGAATCGACAACATGCGCGAGAATGGCGCTGCTTATGCTCCTCGTTTCGCCTTTTCCCAGCCGTGCCGGGGGTTCCCGTATTATCTTGGATAAGCGCCGACTCGTGCGAACAATATCGTCGAGGCTCCAGATGGAGCCCCAAGGCACAAGGTGGCGATTAGGTCCCGTAGCGCGATCGATGAGCCCCATCCACTATGTATAACAAATTCTGTTTTTGTTTAACCTTCAGTTGTTCTGATGTACGGTCTTCGCTAATGCTCGTGATCGATTTTGTCGTAGAATCGGTTTTCCCATTCGCGGCTTAGGTAAAGCGCCTACGTGTTTGGCGGTCGCTTAAAGAGGCCTTGGAGAGCGCGCATTTTACCGTTGCCAGCTACGATTTCAAACGCGAACGTCAGTTTCTTGGGCTGTCAACTACTTCATCGACGTAAAGGTAAGCCCCATTGCAGAACCGCGCTTCACCAACCTTAGAACAGTCTTTCTCACGTCCGCATAACTCGAAAGAAATAAAGTTAAAAGGTAGATGGGTGCTCATCGGTCGTGTTACGGAATTCACTCATCCCGTTGTGCCATAAGGCTCTCTCTCGAGCCCAACCAGCAGCCGCACAGCGGCGCGTAATATAGGCAGAATAACAGGACAACGAGCCCGTGGCTCAGTGGTTAGAGGCGTTGGACTTCTAACCAACAGGTCACGGGATCGAACCCCAGGTGTTCCACACTTCAGAGTTGGGTATGACTGGCTGACGACGGCTAATAATTCAGAAATGGTCACCCCAGTCTCCCTTGTCTTTGTCGGTAATGCTACTCTGCCTACAACATTAAATCAAGGGATTTAACTGGCGATAAATTAGGAGATAGGAATAGCAATTTCGGGCTTGTTTGCCGTTTTAAAGGCGATAAACCCCAAACCTTGACCATTGACGCCCCGATAATCTGGTCTGTGTTCTCTGAAAATTAACTTAAACGCCGTAGCATTGGTCCTGCGAAGCATGTCTGTTCGACTGCAATTGAGAACATTACAAATATAGGATCCCAATCTGCCAAGCAATTAGTAGAGATTGGTAAACTTTATTTCAATGAAAATTCGTATGCCCTGATTGAAACCGATTGACTCCGTGGTAGAGTGCTTTAGTCATGGGAATGATAATTCGGGTTGGATCCTCCACTCTCTAAGACTGAACGCCATCTTTGCATGCTTTCTTTTCTGGACAAAATACAGACCGATACTGGGCCTTTTAAGACGGTTCTCGAATATTTGCCCCCAGTACGGGCACTTTTTCGGTTAACTTCTCGACCTCTCAAGTTTCCATAATGGTCGACAAAATAAGCGATGTTCAGTGCTTGGAGTCCCTAACGACATCTCAGCCGTCATTGACACCCACTCCGCCATCTACGCTAGAGTATTCGTTGGCTCTGATTGCCATTCGGCTTCAGCAACTTGACAGTTCGTCCAATGTGCAAAGAATTTTAACCGTTAGCGCCACCAGTCCCATCCCTATGTCCACTAACTTCGGATTTTGCCATATTTACGTTAACACTATGCGAGTTCCTCCTAGTATTTTCAAGGCTTGGTTCAGAAGCTTAGTCTACAAAGGGTAAACATAGTAAAATGTTTTGTCAAAAACAACCGCGGGGCATTTTACGCATGTGACAGCTAAACCAACAGACTGAGTTGCACGTACTAATGAAGACAAACGTACCACAACCGCTTGGAAAAAATCGTAAGTA